ATATTGGACTATTTCATTAATATAACATATTTGATTATTTATATTAATCAACCAAATATATATTACTGAAGAAATATTTTAATAATATATAACTATAAAGTTATCTTTAATTTCATTTATAACAAAATCTGTTGAGAAAATATCTAACAAGATCTTACCAAGAAAGTTAAATATTTTTATAAAATATATATTATTTAATCGTGATAAATATATATATATATATATATATATATATATATATATTAATGTGAATTAAAAATAAAAATTGGTATATTTTATAATTTAATGATTTTCTATATTATATTAAAATAAAATGCTATGTGAAATTAATATAAAAATATATTAAATTGGTAAAGAAAAATATTTTATTTAAAATTTTATTTTATTCACTGTTAAAACATACTCCCTCTGTTTCATTAGAAGTGTCACTCTACAGCTGTGCACACGGATTAAGAAAACAATTAATTTTACATATTTCCTATATAAAAACACAGTTACCCATACACCTAACCATATTTTAACCAGTAGAAAAACAAATTACATAATAAAATTAATAAATTTTGCATTGAAAACCGAAAACGACACTTATTTTGTAACGCAAAAAAATCTCTACAACGACACTTAATATGAAACGGAGGGAGTATTATTTTTTTTAAATCATGTAATATTTTTATACAAAAAATGTTGACATATATTTTTGTAATTCACAACAAATACATTATCTAAAAAAATATATTTGATATTTTTTAAAAATGACAACAATATATTATATAAAATAATTAAAATAATAAGATTCTATAGTTATACAATATAAAAATAAAATGTAAATGATATATCTGAAAGATTTTGTTATATTTTTATAAAATGAAAAATTACCCGCACGGATGTGCGGGTTCAAAATCTAGTTTTGGTTTAAGTCTGATGATTTTCCTTATACATTTTTAATGGCTTTAAGCATTTATAAATACATTTTGTTTTGTTTCCCATCCAAATACACATTCTTATTCAGATTAGGGGGTGTTATTGGTTTGTATATTTTAATGGATTTGAAAATACAAATCAAATCTAATGTTATTGGTTATATGATTTTAAAATCTATATTCAAATTCACTGTTATTGGTTCTATGATTTTAATATAAATTTTAAAATCAAGTGTTATTCAATAATAATGATTTGTTTAAGGATTTGATTAAAACTGGATTTGAATGGATTTGTGAGTGTTTTTAAGTTAAAAATACAAAGGACCAAATACTGAGGTAAACCTTGTTATTTTGTTAGATTTCTAATATTGGGTTTTCCAATATTTTATACCCCAAGTTTTATATACGTATTGGCACGTTCCTTCTAATAATTATAACAAGCACTAACAAGTATATATATGATACATTCACGTATAAGTGTGGTAACTATATATATGTTTCATAGTACATATCATCAATTATGTGTAAGCGAAAATTCACGTGTACTTTTGAAAGTTCTCTATTTTATATTTTCTAATATAGTGATATAGCACAAAAAATATTGGGTGTGTATAATTTTGATCTTGACTTCATATACGTTCTTAGTGGATTTGAAAGTTTGGTTAATGATGTTTTTGAAATAGAAAGGTTTTAAAAGTAAAATATTTTAAAATTGTGGTTGATTGCGGTTTTACAAATCATTGTAACTTTTCGATTTTATATTGGGTTGTTCGATACCATTTGCAAGAGTATTTATTTTCTTTATTTTATTACAAAACTGAATCTATTACAAATTCATTTGACTGATTTATAATAATCCAGTTATTTTGATTTTTAAATCTACATCCTTGATTCTAAAATATATTTGTTTGATTTCAAAATCAATGGATTTCCTAAAAATTTCAAAATCCAAGAATTCTTTTAAATTCATTATAATACTAGAACCAATAACCCCTACTTAACTTAAGACATGTATGCAGTTATTTTATGACGTCATGGGGAAACACAATATACATGACATTTTATAGATTTTAAAATTATACTCATAAAAAATGTTATATTTTTATATATTCAGTTACTTTATCTATTGAATTTTTGGTTTGGATATTTAATATATAAAAATATCGAACAGTTCAATTATTTGAGAATCCTGTTCTTATTCGTTTTGGTTTGGTTTAAGCCAGTGTTCTTGATATCGGATAAAATGTCTATTGTCTAATTTTAAACTTAACCAAACAAGTGTGGCATTGAGTTTCAAACTTTGGCGACGAAGGCAAACTTGGTAGGGCTTTTGGATGCGCTCGGTATTATTCTTTGCTCTCTCTTTCGACAATGTATAGATATAATGACAGGATATGATTACGAAGTTAGACAAGTGTGTCGGGAGCTAACTATTCTGGAAGTAAGAGCATCTTTCTCGCCTGTTTTTTTTTTTTTGAACACCACATACTTATATTAAAATTAAAAGCCCGCTGGGCAAAAACGATTACAACCGGAGAGATCCTCGACGGTGACGAAATGAACTAACACAAGACGAAAGATAGATATGACTAAGGAGAGAAGAGACCCAAAGAGAAACTTCACTTGTAATCCTAAAGCCTGCATTCGGAGGAACGCACATACGTCGAAATCGACTTTAAAGAACCCAATCAATGAGTTTTGAGAACAATCAAACCATGTCTCTAAAGATGCCTGGATCGCTGGAGGAAGAGGTCTTGGTTGAACTTCAATGGACACTCCTTGTAAAAGACTAGGTGAGTCGGAGGCCACTGGAGACGGGGAGCATGCCCAAAAGAAAGCGGTCCACTTGAATGATGCATAACAAAGAACGGGGACCTGGGGCAGTCGCGGGGCGATGATAGTGGCTTGCAATGATGGAGATTGGGTCGTGTAGAGATGAAACCTCGGAGACACGAGTCTGACTCGAGATAGAGGCAGCAACAGAGTCATGTGTAGTAGCCGACAACTCGTCTTTAACGCTTCTGCGGACGTTGAGATCCTGAATCTGACGAACAAGGGTCTCAACGCGCCAGTGAAGACTCGATGAGTAAGAATACGGCTTGAACAGGACATCTGAGCTCCTCGGTTAAAGATAGAAGCTCCGGTATGCAGGTTGTGTAGTTGACTATGTGAAGAACCATCGATGTTTGAGATGGCGTAATGTGATGGAGACGCAACGATAACATGATATCGAACAGATTTGGCGAAACCACACTCTCGCACATTAGTTCGGGCGATGAGGAAAGGAGTGATAGAGCCACAGAACCGACTCTGTGAAGAACCGTCGATGCTTGAGACGGCGTAATGTGATGGAGACGCATCAATGAAATAATAGCGAGCAACACTGGCGAAACCACATTCTTGCACAGTAAATCCGGCGGTCAGTAGGAGGAGGAGAATTAATCGATGTAGCTTAGCTCCATAGAAACCTGGGCGAGATAGGACTGCCTCGATGTCGAGTGAATAGGCGGTAATATAAAGACCAGTGAGGCAGCAAGCGAGGGTTGGAGAGAGGCGGTGGCTGTAGTTGATGACTAGATCCGGCGAGGAATAAAGGCGAGGCATAAGAGTTCTCTTAGGCAACATCAGATGCCCAACAAGAACAACGGAGCTAACTCCAGTGAAGCCATATACAGATCCAAAAAAACCAGATGTCTTAGGAGTATGAAGAGTACCGAAAGGGGGATCGACAGTAGAGAGAGCGGACGTGGGAGCGGTGACGTTGAGAGACATGGCGGATTTGGAATCCAAGAGGCACTGAACGACAGTGGGATAAGAGATCCCGCGGTGATGAACTGTTGAAAGGAGCAACCAGATGGAGAGGGATGTCGCTAGATTTGGTTCTAGAGCTCGATTCATTTGTTTTCGTCGATGGAGCTGCCATGGTTTCTTGCCGATGAACAAAAACAGGGGACACGGTATGAAGCAGATGCAGAGGTATAACAAGAACTCGTAGATGAAGAAGGAAAGTAAAGAGGACGAAGAGGAGTCCCGACGCCGGCGAGGGAGAGCTACGCCGGCGCCAGAAACCATGGCTCTGAGGTGTGTCTCGGGAACTGTGTCTGAGAGCTTCTCAGCGGCTAGGGCGAACTCCCCCTTTCTCGCATGTTTCTAACAGGGTGTTTAAGGGGAAAAGTATTGGTGGGACCCAGAAAACAAGAAGATACGTCGTCTGCTTGTCCCGGAATAAGCGACGTATGCTGTGGGTTTTTCGCACTGTTTTACGGGCCCCATGACACGTGACGGTCCGCAATTGATTCATTTTCTATTTTTTTAAAAATAAGATAAAACAAAAAAAAATTAAGAGATGAGCCACACTGTCTCTGAGATAAAGATGCTCTAACTAAGTAATAAGGTGAATTTAACCTTTTTGGAACACCCGCCAAAGATACTAAGCTCTTAATTTTTGTGATGATAAATCGAACAAAACTAATTAAGAAATCATTTATTTGGATTATCTTTTATATGAGTCGATTGTAACCGGATCCAAATTAATATAATGTTCTTAGAAAAACATAACCAAAACCTTTTTAACTAATATATGTTTATTGAATATATAAATAATTCCTTTTAAATACAGTAAAAATAACTCATAGAACGTTAAGAAATCATATATTTCGACCTCTAGTTATGGGTCTTAGAGCTTCCACAACCCAAAATCTTTAACAACAAATCCTTAACAATAAATTATTATAATAATATGTGGGGTCCAAAATATTGAAGAATTTGTGCCACAATTGCCTTTTGCAGTCCTAATTTACAGATCTCTTTTCTAACA